TTATATTGTTTAACGCGACAGAGAAGCGTCCGACGACCGTCTCATCAATTTCCACCTCCACTAAATGCGACCAGGTCCCGCCTGTTGTCGTCAGTCGCTCTCTCGTGGCTCGCCTTGCGTCGCCGCGTACGCCACGTTATACGTTACCTAGTGGCGTACCCAGGGGGGTCTTAGAGGGTTTCAACCCCCCCCCCCCCCCCCCCCCCCCATTGACCGTGTTATGGAATACATTTTATATTATAAAAGACAAAGTACAAACCATGATATTTCTAAAAACAGTGTTGAATACAACGTATTATCTTAAGTAACAACGACCTATTATAAGCAAAGAATAAACGTTACGCATATGGTACCGATATAATATTATTTGATCGGTATGAAAGTAGTAACGAACATTATGATACGACAACGACTGTTACCTGTGGTGTACGGGTGTACGGCATGACGCATGACGTGATGCAACCAACAACACTATCACAGTCCTTTACTCCTTACTCTTTACTAAATACTAGCTACTACTTTTTCTATTTTCTGTACAGTTTTTTTTGTAATGATGTCTGAGAAAAGACCAAACGTGTTTCTGTGACAAAAATTGATTTTCTCGTTGCACTTGAAGTTACAGTAACTTGTTTTGCCTACACATTGCAACTCAGTATTTCTCTTCAGAGCAAACAACAAGATATTTCTAGAGCATCATCCGACGTACTGGTTATTCGCAGTGCACTAGAAGAGCTTCGAGAAGGTGCAAAGAAGGTGCAAATGGACACTTTAAACAAATTTTTAAGGATGTTTCTGATATTGCAAATTTAGCAAATGTAGAAGTATGCATGCCTCGGATATGTGGTAGGCAAACACAAAGAATAAATATAAATTCAAAAGATACAGAGACATACTTCAAAGTATCAGTGTTTCTTCCTTTTCTTGATTTCAACCTTCAAGAATTGGATGAACGATTTAATCAACGACTAAGTGATATAATACCTTTACAAGGACTTATTTCATCAAATTTTAGTATGTACGACGATGAAACTATTTTGAAGGTGGCTTCTTTCTTCTCAAGATCTTTCAACTGATGATAATTCTATTGTTAAAGCAGAGTTGTGCATTTGGAGACACTAATGGAAAAATAAGCAAATTAAACCACATTCGGCTATTGATACGTTACCCCATTGCACAGATGTCGTACCAAATATAAAAATACTTTTACAATTGTTTGCAACATTGTCAGTTACCTCAGCCACAACTGAACGGACATTTTCAACACTAAAACGTTTGAAAACATATCTACGGTCAACCGATAAGAACGCTTATTTTAATGATTTTAAGTGCTTTAAGTCCCGAGCCTTGCTAATATATTATGTGTGTTATAAAAAGTATATAATAATGAAATATTACAATTTACTGCTATAACACTTTATTGAAAATTGTTTGTTAAGATGATGTCAAATTGTGATTTACTTTGTTTAGCCCCACCCCCCTTCGAAAATCCTGGGTACGTTACTGTTACCTACTATTCTCATTAACTTTTGTCATTTATTTTAAGTCGTGTTTTATTAAACTAGGAATCGCCTTTGGCGAATTTCACAAGTAAATATTAGCGTTTTTTCCTAGCTACCTTGGCGTAAATTGTGAAAGGACTACCGAAAAATAATTTAATAAAAAATACCTGAGCACTAATATATTGTATTTTTTCTTTTTTTGAAAAATATTAATTCAATTATATGATATATAACTTATTAATTATTTATGATATTATTATTTTAATTTTCAGGTAATAACTGATGTGTTATGGAAGCAAAAATATCATGAAGAATTATTAAAAAAAGTTAGACAAATAGTTGGCCATTTTAAGCATAGCATTTCAGCTAACAAATTACTTAATAACTATCAAAAACAAGTAAAATTGCCTGAACGAAAATTTATTCAAGATGTTACAACCCGCTGGAACAGTACTTATCTTATGATTACTAGGTTTCTAGAGCAAAAAAAGTCTGTCATTGGTTTAGCTCCTTACATACATCTGAAAGTAAGTTTGACTAGTGAAGAATGGGTTTTATTAGATGAAATATCTAAAGTTCTTGAAATATTTTATTTGGTAACTTTGACGTTATCTAAAGAAACCTCATCACTGTCTGAAGTCATACCAGTTTTAAGAAGCGTCAGTACATATTTGGAAAAAGAAGTCAACAAATCTAACAAAAGTGAAATTGCTGAAAAACTACTGTCTAAAATGAATGAAAGGTTTAATGAATATGAACAAAATAAATTGCTTTTACTCAGTACAATTTTAGATCCTAGATTTAAAGATAGAGTATTTTCCGGAGAATATGAAAAATTTCAAGCACAAAATAATCTGAAATTGGAACTTGATGTAATTTACAGAAATGTTACTGACACCTCTACAGTGTCTCCTGAAATTGAGTCAGAGGTTGTAACAATTAATCAACATCCATTAGAGAAGTCCATATTTAGTCATATTATATTGCCTGATCACAGAGAACCTATGCAGTGCAATTCAAATGAAGCAGAAATTGAAAAATATTTAACAGAAGATTTGATTGATGAGAAAGAAAACATATATGAGTATTGGTCTAAATCTAAATTAATAGGATTAAAAAAGCTAGCGGCTAAATACCATTCAAGCCCATCAACCTCGGTGGATTCAGAACGTGCTTTTAGTACGGCAGGGTTTATTTGTTCTAAATCTAGAAATGCTTTAAATCCTACTAAAATAAGGAATTTAATATTTCTTTCAAAAAATTTGAAGTACTTAGATTAAAATTTAAATGTTTGATTATATTAAAGATTAAACACTTTAATTGCTATAAAAAGACTTAAACAAGTAACGTTTAAAGACTGAAAAGGGAAAATTATTATTTTTTAAATATGATGTAATTTGTTTTTCATTATAATTTTTATTTGTTTTATTAAAAAGTTAAAATTATACTTATAGTTATAATTTAATAATTTATAAACAACCTACAAAAAAGAAAAGTGTTCATTTTAATTTTTAAGTATTTTAAATTTTTAACTTTGTTATTTAATATTTATGTACAACTGTGTTAACTATTTGTGTTAAATATTAAATTGTATAATTAAATGATTAATTATTATTTATTATATATTACTTGTTTAATTTAGTCATTTTTATAATATTAATATATAATATATATTATATATTATAAAATAATAAATAATAATAATATTACTACTTACTAGTAATACTAGTTAATACTTAGTTCTTATCGGTAAGTATTATCGGTTATCGGTAAGCATTATCGGTTATCGGTAGGTATTATCGGGTATTTTATGATATCGGTTCATGCATTTGGATAAAAATTCAAAGTTTTGAATATATCGGTTATCGGTTAAAAGTGATATCGGCCCATCCCTAATTATTTTACTTGCAATATAAAACAAAAACAATATTATTATACTAATATTATAATAAAAACAACAACCAGTCTTTGGTTTGCATTAATATATTATTTAAATAAAAATTAAAATAAAATATTATAATTTAATTGAAACATTATAATCAAAATAATATTTTACATAGTATTATGTAACAACAACTTAATTTACCAGACTTTGGTTTGCATTTAAAAGTAATAATAAAATAAAAAACATTATGACAATTCAAAACAAAAAGTTAACTACCAGTCTTTCGTTTACATTAACATTTTGTATGTCACTAGTTCCAATTTTCAAAATCGCCTCCAAATATTTGTCCGTCATGGCCGATCTATAATTTTATTTGATGTATTTCATTTTGGCAAAAGTTTGTTAGCACAAATAAGTTGTAGCAAATACAGATATATAATCAATAGCAATTTTTTTTAAAATTTGGATATTGTGTATCTGGTCTCATCTAATCTCCCTCGTGTTGAGTTTAACTTTTATAAATAACTAGATAAAATAATTTCAGCTCATAAATTATTATGATACGTCCCCGCGATAACGACTTTTTGAATTACACATACCTATCTAAAGGGCTGTAGCCCATTTTCGCCCCAGATTAGCCCATTTGCGATCCGAGGGTTATGGATATTCGAGCACAAAATAAAAAACTTAACACTATAATTTAAAGCCCAAATGCGCCCATTATGCATGTAACGTTGTCGTCAGTTATCGTGTAAGATAGTTTAAGAAAAAAGTAATCATTTTCGAAATAATAATAAATACTACACAGTACCTATACATATATAATATATCTAAATATTATTTATATTACATTAAATTATAAATTTAAAGTAGTTAAATTATAGTAGTACTCACTACTCACTGATCATGTGCAACTGACACATACAATACAATTGATAAATGCATTTTACATAATATAATCTTAATCGATTGGGATTTTACAGTTTCGATTAGCACGACTAACAACAAAATATTATTATCTTTATCGATTTGAATATTGGTTTCGATTATCATGGGAAACGATCAAATATTATTTTAAATTGTACAGATATACGTATACTAAAATACTCAATAAAAAGCAACGTTGCACGATTTTCTCCTAATCTAAATCGGGCGCATATGGGCTATGATTTAGGGCGCAAATGGGTTACGATAAATAGGTTCGGGCACAAATGGGTTGCGCCGATCTAAATCCGTGATTACACGGCACGTGGAGTGTGGAGCATGCTGTACACCGCGTGTTAAACTGGATAAAACGTGCCGCCCTAATTTTCCTTCCAGCTTTAAGGTGGGATCACACGGCGCGTTGCGTGGAGCGTGGAGTGGTATAGCGTGGTACAGTTGACGCGCCGTCTGATCGGTATTGCGCGGTGCGTGGCTTCCCGACAATTGTCGGTCTTTGTGTCACGCGCCAAAGGAAATTTGGCGCTTCGCGTCTTATCAATCAAACGGCGCGTCGGTTTAATTGTTTATCAATGTATCTATTTATCATTTTTCATACTTTGAACTAAATTTATTAAATATTAAATATTTATTAAATATATACTTATAATTTTATAATATTACTATATTATAAAATGGAATGGTCCAAAGAACAAATTGCACAATTTTTGGAGCTGTACGAAGGTGAGCCATCTATATGGAATCCAAGTGATGCAAATCACAAAATTCAGAACCATGTTCATGATGCTTGGGGAAGAATTTCAAAAAACTTAAGTGGAGCTGAATATTCAATAAGTGAACTAAAAAAAAAAAAAAAAAGATTCACTTATTGGGACTTACAGAAAATTGTCATTGAAGGTCAAGGCTAGCAAAAAGACTGGTTCAGGCAGTGATGGTAGATGATAGCATACAGAATTCCCATCCACAAGTCTTAAATTTCCCTGCAAATACCTATTTGCATTTTTTTTTCATTTAATTGCAATTATTTTATAGATAATATTATTATAGATATAAAAATATTTAAAAATGTTGATAACTTCTAAAATTACATGTCTAAAACATTGTGTTTATCGTTATATTATCACGCTATTCACATTGGTTAGGTATATGGTTAATCAATAATAAAAAAATTTGTTGGTTACATAATAAAATAAATAGAAAATAAAAATGTTGAAAAAAATGTTTAAGCTAATAAAGGTATTTTGAATTGTGTAAATCAATATGATCTTTTCTGACTTTAAATGTTGTGCAATTAATTTCCTTATCTTGGAATGATGATCCAATAATCGCTACAGCATTTAAAGAATCGTTACCAATTTTATTTCTTTTTTTGTTTTTACTTCATTCACGATCGAAAAAATTCTTTCGGATTCTGCATTTGAATGTGGCAGTGTTAAAACCAATTTTGCCAAACTTTGATATATTTGGAAACAAGTAACCTTCTTGACAAAAATTTTTCATTTCGCCTAATAAGTAGAAATCACAATATTGTTAGATATTTAATTTACATCATTTACAAAATTAAAATAACTTGACTCACCTATATTTTTCCACATTACATCAATAGGCATTTTACTTAGTTTTTCGATTTGTTCGTTAGATAAATGACAAGGTAAACTTCTCCATTCCTCTTCAATTTTGAAAACATCTATATGTGCATTAAATTTATTTTTAAGAGCCGAAAATCCTGTGTGTTTTGAATGGCCCTCTATGCTAAGCGCTATTTCTGGGTTTAAAAATATAAATTCTTTAAAAATAGTTTAGCCAACTGGAAGTCGAGTGACTATTTCCTCAGCTGCTTTGCAATAAAATTGGCAACAATTTTTTTTAAACTCTGATATTAAATTTAAATCTTTTGGTGACATCAATTTGAATTCTTGTTGACATTCTGATCCAATAAAAATTTCATCAATCGGCAACAGGTTGTCTTTGTTTGAAAATAATATTAAATGAACATTTTCATTTATCAAATTTGGCTTTACAAAGTTTTGGCAAATATCTTTTAAAAGACGCATTGAATGACCGTGCAGTGTATGTATTGAAATAGTTCGACTTTGAAAAAGAGCGTTAAAAGAATTAAAATAATTTAATACAAATTTTAAGAAAAAAAAATAACATTTTATAATTGTATTATTTAAATAATTTAGTATTGATTGTGCAGATTTAAGTTTGTCTTCTTGAACTGCGACTAAAAAGAAGTGTTGCAAACTGGTCCAGCAGTCCAACATCCGTACCACGCATTGATGTAGAGCCAACCCATCGTGTATCAGCCAATTTCATTTTTTTTTTTCATGTCCGTCGAAAAATTCTTGAATCTCAACCAACTGGGCAGAACGTTTTGCACTTCCGGATACATATGTTGCCACAGATCGAATAAGGTCTTCGGCCGATCGGGGCAACATTTTGCATGCTTTGCTTGCAACTAGTGCCGATGAATGGCATATACATTTTATAAATATTAAATTTGGTATACAGAACTTAAGACGAGATACAAATGAATTTTTTTCACCAAACATTACATTTGCTCCGTCTGATGCCATGCCGATAATATTTGAAATCGGAATACCTTTAGTTTTTAGACATTCTTCAAATTGTTGAAAAATATTACTAGCTGAACAGTCAGTTGCATTTAGGAAAACCAGCTCTAAAAGACGCGTTTGTGCTGCCAACTGTATTTCAGCTTTTTTGACACCTTCTAAATGTGGATCTTCTTTATTTATCTTATTTACCATAAAACTAGATAATGTGGTGGAGCTACTAATAGATCGAACATTTAGTTTATGTTTTTGTGATAATGCATGTTTTTTAAGTTCACTCTTACCTCATTACATACCTTACATTTGAATTTTTCTAGATTAGATTTATCTTCTTCAAGCCATAGTTTGAATTTAATGTCATCCAGCCACTCTTTTCTAAATAGTTTACGATTAATAGTACGAGTTTTTTCGTCTTTCGATAACTCGTGTCGAATTTTTCGCCTTTTCTTCGGTGTTGTACAGTCGTCAACATCAACATCACTCTCATAAAATTCCATTTTAATAATAAAATATTAATTAACAAAAACGAGTGAAAAACTGAAAACTGAAATCTAATAGGTACGTCAAATGCCATAACACGACTGATGTAGTGCTATTCAGTGGCATAGGGATAAATGTAAAATCACTCTTCAATGCAAGTTTAATTTCGTTTATAGTTGGTTTTTTGGAAGTAAAGATAAAGCGTTATTCCTTGTTTGACATAATACAATGTAGTAATGTCAAAATGTTGTACCTTATCTAGTTATACCTGTTTCTAGTTGTACCGTACCTTATCCAGGGCCTGATTTACCAATTCGTGGGCCCAGTAAATTTTACAATTTTGGGCTCCAAATTTTCCATCTCTATTTTCTTCAATGCTAAAATAAAAATGTACGCATAATATATTTTTAAATTAATGCTGTATATAATTAGTATATGAGAAGTTGGATCATAGAATAAATATGTATTGTTAAAAATATGATTATTATGTTTAATATTTATTCGAGTAAAATAATTAACATACACAAAAACAAACTTTTTTTTAAATTAGCATTTTTTATTAGATATTACACTTATATAATAGGTATCAAATTAAATTTTTTTACGTTTAATGTCATAAATCTAATTTTATTTCAGTTTTCACAAACATTTCCTTGCTTTTTGCTTAGAAAACTGGTCAATAACATCATCAAAATTCAGGTTTGCTGTGATATCACTTTCAATAGATAATATTCCCAGAGCGTCTATATTTTCTTGACTCAATGTAGATCGTAATCTATTTTTAATTCTTTTTAATGAAGAAAACGATAGTTCACTGGAGCAATTTGTAACAGGCATTGTAAAAAAAATTTGAAGACACGTTTCTACATTCTGAAATGCATGTGATATTTGCATATCTTTAATGAATTTAACCCGTAAGTGGTATGGTCTGGTCCCATAGACCGCTGCAGTTTTTGTTTTGGTTTACTTCTTAAAATGTCGTACCACTTACGGGTTAAGTTGGGCAGCGGGATTTCTTGATATTTGATGAGAAGAAATTAAACTATGAAATTGAAACCATTCATCTGCAAAATTATCGGGATCCAAATCTAGTTCATTTGTGTACATTGATTGTAAATTTTTTATTTGGTTGTTCATTTCCTTTCTATCAGGATTTTTATTGAATAAAAATCCAAATTTTTCTTCTACTTCAATATAGGCCATTTTTCGTTTATTCAATTCAGCTATAAATTTATCACAAATAACATAATGAATATCACTCATAAACTTCGCTCTTGGATCTAATTGTCTTTCTTCAGAATCAGTATCATCTAAGTGTCTACTTTTTGGTGTCTTTTTTTTCTTGAACTCTGATATTCAATATCCTTATTTAAAAGTTCTATAGATTTGCTTTCATAATCATCAAAGTGTTCTCGAACATACTGTATGAAATCTATTAAGGAGTTGTATAAGGGCACTATTGAAAACAAATTTTCTGTTGAACTCTGGAGACTTTTTGAAGTTATATTTATTCGTTGTAATATAACATCCCATACTATAGTTAATATAGCGGTTTCCCTTTTTTTCAATTTTTTCAAAAAATTCATTGCATCAAACCGAGTATTGCCGTTTTCATTATTATCTTGAGATATTTCTAACAAAATAGATAAAATATGAGCATCATTTTGTCGTAATGCTTTAGTTGCATCAGCATTTGCGGACCACCGTGTTTGTGAAGACGATTTAATAGTTAGCGTTTCATTACATTTTTGATGTTCTCATAAAAGTTTCCAACGATGAGTTGAAGACGAAAAAAAGTTATAAACAGATTGAATTATACTAAAATATTCAACTGCACCGTTACAATTTTCAACTGCATGAACACCGACCAGGTTTAACGAGTGTGCCGCACAAGGTAAAAATAGTGCTAAGGGAGCTAGTTTTCTTATTCTTGTTTGTAATCCTGAGTACTTAATATATTATTACAATATGATATTACGACGATAATAACGGCAATTCGATTTTGTTATCGTCAATGTTGATTAAAGCAGTATTTATCGCGAAATCCTCATTATACTTTATACCCACAAAAATATCCAAGTAAAATTCCCAGAATATGATAAAAATGGTATATAATTAATTTTATAAGGCTGAAGTCGGTGGGCCCCTCTTTTGAGTGGGCCCAGTGCAAATGTCCCATTTGTCCTTGCATAAATATGGCCCTGACCTTATCTACCTTATATGAAAACCAATTATATTATGTTGTCGTGGACATCAATTTACACGACACACAGTCACATTGTATGAAATAATTATAAACACTCAGTTACAAAAGTATTCAAGCATACGTACATATACTTTTTAGTACCTACCGAGTAGTGATAGACATTTTTTAAATTAAAATTTAAAAACATAAAAATAATTTAGTATATTTATCTAGTACCACAGCTACTGGTGGTACCTATATAATAATAGGATACACGTCATAATGTCGCGGTAATTTTGTCGCTGTAAAAATGTCGCGGTTAAAATGTCGAGGTTAAAATGTCGCAAATACAAAAATATCGCGAATACAAAAATATCGCGATGTCAAAAATATGATTAATATAATACTAATATATTATAATTAGGGTTCGGATTTATATGCAAAAATATGTTGCCAAAAATTGATTTTATAGACTACAGAGTGGTACTACACAATACACTTACCTATTATACGTAAAACGAACACAGATTACAAACTGCTCGTCGCAGTGTTCATTATCGCATTTATATTTTATACTGATATTTTAAAATTAGTTACAATGGTATTATGATAAGATATCTGGTATTTCAGCCGATAAAATTGCGTCCAGAAATAATCTATATATCGAATAATTTTATAATGTACAGTTTACACAAAAAAATAATAATAATTTAAATTTAAAAATGTTGTAATAAATAAAATAATAAATTGTATTTTTATGTCAATTGATATTGGAAGTTATACGAAATTCCACGCAGGTATACTCTATTCCAAATAAGTTTGGAAAAAATCGCGCATGCAGGTACGCTGTGATTGGCTACGGATTCGGCATTCGTCCCACTCCAACCGGATCGTCGACAACAGCGCTCGCCACCGGCAGATCACGTGACATACCTGCGCGAAACCGGACGCGTTTTCGTCGTACATTTTTCCAAACTTATTTGGAATAGAGTATAGTCGTTAATTGATCGATTTTCATAATCATACGGCCCCGCTGGTAGATGGCCGCCCGCACTGGGTCCTGGAGGAGTTGGCGGGTCGACATCCTTGCAACCGCCTGACCCCCGGACACCAGCCCCAGCCACTGGATCAGTGACGGCACCTGCTGCCACTTCTCCTGCTGTTGTTGGTCGGCCATGTTTAAAAGTGCCCTTTTAAAGGTTTTAAAATCATTTTTTAATAATGGCCTAATGTTTTTTTTTTTTTTATAATTTATTTGTTTTTATTTTAATAATGTAAAATATAATACAAATTCCACTAAAAAACTATTCTAAATTTGGTTGAAACCCCCAAATTGTTTTACTTTGATTGCACCTTTATGTATAATATAGGTGTTATAACTTGATTAAAATAAATTAGAAATTCATTAAGACTGGTACAACCAAATGTCCCATTGGACACTGGACACATTGCACATGTGACGATAAAATATAGTTGGACTAATAGACAATAGAATTAAACCATTTAACCACTAACTTATAAATACTAAAATATTTGTTTTTTTAAATTATAGACTAAATATTTAACAAAAAACTTTTTAAAAGTAGTAAGTAGGTACTTTTTTACGACACTTGTGCTAAGTTAAAACAGTTAAAAATAAAATATAGTAAAAATGTACTTACTTATTTCGACTTTTGTAGTATGCATTACAGTGGCGTAATTTGGTCATGGTTGTGGGGGGGATGACATTTTTGTACATTTCACCATATACCCCCCCCCCCTCCTCAATATTTTTTTATATCATATAAGCAATAAACACTTCTCAATACAAGTACACAATATTGTATACAATAAAATAAATAATAACAAAATATGTAGGTACATTTAAACATTAACTTTATTAGTACTACGTAGGTCCTAGATACTACATAACAAATTACAATAAAAGATCCACTCTACGTGGTCTTAATGCTAATTCATTAAGCACTTCTTCAGGGTCCACTTTGACATTTCTATGAACAGCCAACATAGGAAAACCGAGTGCAATTTCTTGTTGTCCACAAAATATGACACATTCAATTATTGGAATTAGGCGACTTCTATTCAATTTAATTTTTTCTGTCCTATTTGTTTCTAATTTTTCAATTATAGTAACTTGTTTATGGTCAAGTATAGTTAAAAAATGGTCAGCATCTAATACAGACGATAAATGGTATTTCAACTGGGAATGATTTCGAAATGTCTAAAATTAATAAGAATACGTAATACAATTAAATACAGAAAATATAATAATTTTAAAAGTGCATATTATATAACTAATCTATAAAATATATAAACAAAAGATATCAATAATAGATAATTAAAATAATTAAATACATAGAAAATAATTTAACACCTCTTTTGCTTTTTTCCAGTTTGAAAAAGCAGTTGAAACTAGTTGCCCCAGAGGCTGGCCACCAATACCGCCATATTTAGCAAAAGCCAAAAAGCAAACAGTATTTGCAAAAAACTCCTTGTTTAATTTCTGAATAAACAAGCCAATTAAATTCTGTGAACCATTTATATTGAAATTTCAGACCTCTTGCTTTATATTTTTCCAACAATGGAAACTCATAATTTACATTTGGTACCCACACATTTCTAAGCACCTATAATATTATATTAAAAATAAAGCAAATAATCAAATTATATTTATTAGTTAGTACAATATTCAATATTGTATATACTATATAAATAAAATAATGGATTTAGTATGCAAAATAGTTTACTAGTGGCTAGCTTACACTACTATATTTAACTTACAAGCTTTTTATCAGCATCAGTATGTGTACAATTAGTAAAAAGCCCTATATCATTTGATCTAAAATTAGTTTCCAATTCATTATCAATAATTTCATCCTGAGGAAAATAACAAAAATCAAAATTTAAAGCAGTATTTAGCAATGCATTAAAGCATTAACACAATTAAGCAAATAGTATTCTTAGTTGGCACTATGCAATAACTAATTTTTTATATAAAATCTACACTAAATTATACTTCTAGATAATATTTATTATTTATTATTACTTGTTTTAATGTCGAACATGAAGGCTGATCTACTGACAATACAATATTCTGTGTTTCTGGGTCATTAGTTTTAGTTTGATTTAGATGATCCTTTAAAATGTATAAAATTAATAAAAATTGGAGTTATAAAAACAAGATATAAATTGATCATAGTAATATGGTACTTACATCATCACAGCTTTCTTTATTATTACGACTTTTTTTTGAAAAATATGTTAAAAGTGTATTTTTAGTAATATCATCTTTTTTCCTTTTACCTTCCATTTTTAGAAATAAAAAATTCTATTATAATTTTACGCTGTTTTATTTTAAAAATAATTAACGAATAATAAATAAATATTAAATAAAAAATCGTAATTTGTGTTGCACTTTCATTCGAAAACGAATCACTATAATGTATTAATTTAATTCAGAAAACACACAATTAGACAATATCGCAAAATTCACAGTATGAGCCGATTATAACCAAATGAGAAATGACTAACGAGTAACGGAGGTCGGAGTCCGGAGAGTCGTTGCGATTGTGAGTATTCCGAATTCCGATAAACCGTTAACCGATAATGTGGAAAATCCATCAGTTATTTTTAGCGGGTATAATATCGTTAGATAATAATATAATATTATGGGATTCCGGTGATTTTTGTTAAATCTCTAAAATATACCATAATAAGTACATAAATGTGTTAGACGATTACAAAAAAAAAAAAAAAACAGGGTCATGGGGGGGGGATTTGACACCCAAATCCCCCCCGTAATTACGCCACTGATGCATTAACCCAATAACGTTTTGGTTTTGGTTTTTTTTTTGGTTTCACTAGCACTTTTTAAAACTTGTCTACTTAGTAGGACATATGCAGCTGCACAGACAGCAAGTTTTGATTTTTCGTCAGTATAATTCATAGTTTTAATAATATAATTGTGCAAGTATACGTATATGAATCACGATTAATAATTAATTAGTAAATTATAATATAAATTAATTATTAATTAATATCATACACCACAGTCCACAACACGTGCACTGACGCACAGTCACTTCAAATTAACAAAATGAAATTGAATTTTTAAGCGCAAATATTAGAATAGTGTACCTATCAGTGAAAAACTTGACTTACTGGTGTCTGTTGAACAATTTTTTTACTGTTTTGCAAGTGTTTTGTTGATAATTCTGTGACATGAGTACTTAACGTGGAGCTACAAACTATACAAAATGCTACATATTTTCCAATTATATCAACCAATTTTTAAATTCGGACATCTGTGTCCATTTTTCATTGAATCTTCGAACTACTAGTTGTATTACCACTTGAAACTGTAATTTTTACTTTGTTATCTACATATTCATCAACTAAATTTAATGATTTTTTAATAACTTTAGTTGCATTACTTCTGGTGCTGGCAACTGTAAATGGTTCAGGGTCATCTACACTTTCTTCCGGGACCAAATTTAAAGATGTTTTAATGACTTTAGTTGCATTACTACTGGTTAACCATTTATCCATTGTAACTAGGTTTACAATAAATAACAAAAAACGACTTTAAACTAGGTAGGTATTGTTTTAATTATTATAAATTACTTAACACCTCACACTTCAATACTTAACAACAATATTGCATATTAAAAAGAAAGTAATAAAAAAAAACTTAACAACAAGTCAACAACTATGATAAACAACTAATACCTAATAAACTTAAATCTATAAATATAATTAAAGCCGGGAACTCTACTACAGTATTGATACTATAATCACAGAATAACGTATAGTTGTCCCTCCATAGTCCATGATAAGAAAAATAATTGAAATGTTATCAGCAAATTGAAAAATGATTATGATTAAAAAAAGATTTTACTCATATTACGATAAAATAAAAAATGTTTATTCTTAATAAATATGATTTACTTTTATTTAATTTCAAATAACCACTGGAATATTCAGAATACCACAAAATTACCACATTTTATCATCCCATTTTTTACCCAACCCAGATGAAATTACCACAGTTTGGGGTAATTACCACACAATCGGCAACACTGCCTATCACAATGGATAAGAATTGATGATTCCAGAACGAGACGCGCCTAGGAGAAACTTGTTGAACCATGACGTTCCGTCTGATCACACAGTTGTCGCGCGGAACTTTGCGCGGGTCACAGATATATAAAAATACTAGATAGCCGACTGCTATAGTCCATACGTATAAAATAATGTCTCCAACAAAATGGCCGCGAATCATTATTTAAGAGGTGACTGTTTACAAATTAAACTGATACGGTAGGTGATAAGATACTATTTTGTATATATCACGATTAAATATATACAAAAACCACATGTAACATCGTTACTTATCAATACTATACAACATAAATATTCACCTCTTAGATAACGATGGCAGCCATTTTATTGGCGACAATAATAATACTAAAGTCGGCTATCTAGTAGTTTTATATATCTGTGGCGCGGGTTGTTGCGCGGTATATACCACGATTAAAGATATACTGGTTGCCGAACGAGTAATATTTACTACAATATTTATTGACATTCACAAGTTCTTATCAAAGTACTCTGACTACTAGCGCATCCGGTGTTGAACATTTTAAACTATAGTTAATAACCAATATTGAATATCATGCCATATACAAAATACATATATATAAATAACTTAGCTATGTAAGTATGTAATATTGTATTTTATTTTTATATAATAAACTGAATTAACATATTCATATTTCATAAGTTGTTGTTATTTATTACATAATTGATATTCAATTAAAATCCATATTACCTAAAAATATTATCCTTATTTAAAAATGCCGATGTGTTGTTGTATAAAAACCCCACATTTGATTTCAAAGGCTCTTTTTGGAATACCTCAAAATGAGGTGAAAAATAAAATATGGGAAAATTCTTTAGGGATATTGCTAAAAAAAAATAATCAAATTTGTGCAAATCATTTTAAAATGTGTGATGTTAAAAGCACTTGGGAATCTGGCAAAGGGTCAAATAAGTATACTGTAAGTACCTACTACACTTAATTATATAAATATATTATATAAGTTGATTCCAATTTCCAAACATATTAAAATGTATTAATTTACATTAACTTAATAATTTACAAACAAACATTAAAATTATATTAAATATATTATTAACTATTAGGTACTTATGTTTGAAAAGATTACAACTTAAAAAAGATGCCATACCAATACCCTGTATTAATGAAAAAGAAAAATCTACAGACACAGAGGTTTGTTTTAATCTATTTGTTAGTATCACATTAAAAATGTATGCATAAAATTAATTTAAAAAAAAATTTATTATACTATATAGTCTTATTCATATAATGATACTGTCGATACATCAACATCAACTTCTACTGAACTATCTGATTTAACAATGGATAAATCTACCATTTCTAAAAGCTCAAATTCAATTTCATTAAACGATACATCTAGTTAATTTTCTTCAGGCACTTCAGAAAATAAAAATAAACAGCATAAAATTTCTTTCATAGACCAGTCTTCTGCTCCTAAAAAAAGAAAGGTTCTATTTTTTTTTTTTTTTTTTTTTATTAAAATAAAGTATATTTACAATCTATACATAAGTGTATAATAAGTAAGTGTGGTGACAGAGTAATAAGTAATATGTAAAAAAAAAGTAACAAGAGAAGGAAGGCTCCCAGCAGTGCCACCTGACCAGAAATTAGGGTATAAGTTTATTTAATTAATGTTTTTTTTTTTTTTTAGTTATGTGTTGAGGAGATCTCTTGGCCATTGCCTTTTTAACCTTCTAGGAATGATAGAGGTAGATGATAAGCTTTTAATGATGGGGTTTGAATGAGCGCGGAGCGTTGAGTGGAATTTTGAATAATAGGATTTGGCTAGGTCGTTAAGGGTTGGCATGTTCAGATCTTTATGGAGGTTTTTATTGGTAACATACCAAGGGGCAGAGGTTATTAGGCGTAGGCATATGGACTGGAATGCTTGGAGGGTTTTGGTGTTTGATGGTTTTGCTGGCCCCCATAGTTGGATGCCATAGAGCCAAGCTGGGCGGATTATCGATTTGTATATCGTAAGTTTGTTGGTTAAGGAAAGTTTTGATTTTAATATTGGTCTCAAAAGATGAAGTCTGGAGTTCACTGATTTACGTTTTTGTTTAATATGCGAGCTCCAGTTGAGGCGTTTGTCGAATGTTAGCCCTAGGTATTTTACTTCGTCTGACGAAGGAATTACTAGGTTGTTAAATGTGACAGGAGGGCAAGCAAATTTGCGCAATGTAAAAGTTACATGAGTAGACTTCGTTTTATTTATTTTTATTTTCCACCGTTTTGTCCATAGATTTATCATGTTAAGGTGACTTTGGATCATCCGACAAGCGGTTGCGGAATCCTGGTGTGATGCTGAAATTAGTGTGTCATCGGCATATGTTCCAAGAAAAGTAAAGGGTGTTTTGGGGATGTCGTGGGTGAACACGGAATATAGAAAGGGAGCGATATCACTACCTTGGGGGACACCTGCGCTAATGCGATGGCTGGTTGAGTAGCTATTTTTTAGACGAACCTTAAAGGAGCGATCAGATAGGTAGGATTTTATTAATAAAAAATAGGGTGCTGGGAGAAACTTCTTTAGTTTGTAGAGTAGCCCCTCATGCCAGACCCGGTCAAAAGCCTGTGAGACATCCAGAAACACAGCAGGACAGAATTCTTTCTTCTCCAGTGCGTTAGAGATTTTGTCGACAGTGCGATGAAGTTGATGGATAGTTGAGTGATGAGCTCTAAAACCGAACTGAGTGTGTGGGATGATGTTAGCTTCGGTGGCAAGAGGGATGAGTCTTTTTAAGAGAATTTTTTCGAATATTTTTGAGAAAGTGGGGAGAAGACTTATCGGTCTGTATGATGCTGGGTTTTCGGGAGATTTGTTTGGCTTGAGAGTGAGTATTACGATGGAGTGCTTCCAGGAGTTTGGGAAGTAGGATAATCTGAGTATTGCATTGTAGAGGTGAGATAGGTACACTATGGCTTTACGTGGTAGGTTTTTTGCTATGTAATTCGTTATTAGGTCGTGTCCTGGGGATTTTTTGGTAGGAATATTTTTGAATATGGAGTTGATTTCATCGGGAGATGTAGGTTTGGCAGGCATGGACATTGGTAGAGGAGCATCAAGGTACTTTTCTACGATTTTTAGTTGGGTATGACTGGGTTGGATATCATGAGGAGAAAAAGAGTTTTCCAGGTGTTGATCAAAGATATTTGCTTTGTCAGAGTCGGTAATAACCCATGAGTTGTCTTCATTTCTAAAAGGAGGGGTAGGTTGACTTAGGCGGAGTAGAGATTTGGTCGCTTTCCAAAGAGATGAATTTTTTGTGGTTAGTGATTCCACATAATTATTGTAGGATTGGTTCCTGTCGTGTTGGATAGCCTTTTTTATTTTGCTGTTCAATTTGTTAAGTTTGACCTTGTCGTTTGGGTACTTGAATGTTTGCCATTGGTTTCTTATTCTACGTTTCTCGGCTAGTAATACTTTTATGTGATAGGGGGTTTGTTTTTTGGGGTTTGTGTGGTTATAGGGTTTTACTGATTCGCGTGAGGCTTTTTGGATTGAGGCTGTGAGGAGATTGACAGCGACATTGATGTCGTTCGTTGTTTTTAGTGGGATCGAGAGTTTGATATCATTATTTATTACTTTTTTAAAGGTAGACCAGTTTAGTTGACTTGGGGTAAGGGATTCCCTTTGCTGAGGAGGGACGTTTAATCCCAGTTTAAGCATTGTTGGAGAGTGGTCAGATGAAAGGTCGTAGAGGTTGGTGAGGTCGCTATGTATGTTACTAGGTAGTTTTTTGACAAAAATGTCCAAAATGTCAGGATGTCTGTTACTATGGGAGGGCCAGTATGTTGGACCTGGGGGAGCTATTTATGAGTAATTTTTGTTGTTTATGCATTGCTTTAAAGCTCTGTCTCTGGTGTTGGGAGAACGGTTACCCCATGCAGGGTTTTTAGAGTTGAAATCACCACCAGAGATGAAGCGATCCCAAGGTTGAGAAATAGTTGGAAAAGTGGTCCGAGGTGATGATGATGCCAGGAGGGCAATAAACTGCAGAAACGGTGACAGGTATGTTATTAAGTACAACTAGTGAGACACTGGCTGCCTGAATGTGAGGTGTAGAGTAGGGGGGGTAGTGAATGATGGGTTATGTTTGATTTGATGTAAATTGCGGCACCTGCGTGAGCCGTGCCATCAGGGTGACATGAGAAGTAGGCATTGAAGCCGTAGATTTTCGCGCAGGTGTTTGGGTGAAATGAGTTTCGAAAATGAGTGCAATGTCGGCATTTGTTTCTGATAGGATGTGCTGGAGTTCATTTATGTGTTGTCTGAGACCATTGGCATTCCACGAGAAAATTGATAAAGGATAATTTACGTTTGGGCTAGTTGTCATTTTTGGTTAAAATTGTATTTATTAATGTTGTGAGTAGATTTATTAATGGTGTAATGAGTGATTGAAAATGTTCAAGAAAAGATGAGAAAAGAGTGGCTGGAGGGGGTTCGGAGGAAGAGGAGAATTCATGTGTTTGGGAGTTAGAATTAGGTGATTTTATTGTATCTGCGTAAGATCGAGAATAGGTGGCATTACTAGGAGGCTTACCTGTGTTTTTTTTTCCCAATTCGAGTGTTGTTTATCTGGATGGTTGCCGTCGAGTGGTCTCCTGCTGAAGTCCACGTGTGTGGTTGAGGCTGCCGTATTTCTGGACTTTTGGAGTTCTTTGTGTACCGCGCATCCTCTGTAGTTTGCTGGGTGGTCTTTTCCACATAGAGCGCAAGTAGCAGGGGTGTCCTTTGATTTTTCGCACATGTCGGAGACATGAGAGCTTGACCACAACGGACACATCTAGGTGTACGATTGCAGTAAGTACGCGTATGCCCGTAGTTTTGGCATCTGTGGCATTGAGGTAGGTCGCGCCTGGAGTGAGGCTCTTCAATCTTGACTATTGAGTGGCATAGCGTCTTAAGCTTGAATATTTCTGGGTTGTTTGGCGCTGGGTTCAGGTCGATGTAAAAACGTGGTAGTGGATCATTTGACTGTCTCTTTTTTATGTTTGTGACATTTCTTACAGAGAAACCGAGCTCAGTTAATTCTTGAGAGATGTAGTCTATGGGTATTGAGCAGGGATGGAAAACGTTTTTAATTTTTTCGTTTTCGTTTTTGTTTATTGATTTTAAAAATATCGTTTTTGTTTAACGTTTTTAAACGTTTTTAGTTATTACGTTTTTGATTAACGTTTTTAAAAACGTTATTTTTCAATATCGTTTTTGATTAACGTTTTTAAAAACGTTATTTTTCAATAGCGTTTTTGATTAACGTTTTTAAAAACGTTATTTTCTTATTGTTTCTAAATAACGTTTTTGGTAATTTTTTTTTTATGTATATATAATATAATAATATATTCTTATAGCTTATAACTCGTAACATTTAACTTTTAAGTTATAATAGTAACGCGCAATATAGAAATGCACTTAAAAGTTAAAAATTCAAATTAAATATCTTTAATATTTAAATTTTAAATCAAAATTATAATTTATAGAAAATTTAGAAAATTTGAAATTTCTGATTTAAAATTAAAATATTTTTAAATTTTAAAAGTGCATTGGTAAAGAATAAAGATTAAAAACCCAAAAGTAAAGACTTAAGTCTTAAAGACTAAAGGGAAACACTATTTCAGATTTCTAGAGTAAATAATAAAAATAATCCAGAACTCAGAAAATGAACATATTGGTAATTGTAAAATATTAAATTAAATAAAAATATTATATACGTCTAAGAATAAAAATAAAAAAATTGCACTTACACATTGAGCAAAAATAATAAATACTAAATACTAGTAAATAATAAGTACCTACTAAATACAAAATAAAGATAAACACTGATAAAAATAAAATAAAACAAGCTGTTTTTTATTTAATAAATATTAACTTATAAGTTATAACTAAGAATGACTGTTTCTTTTAGATATAATATTCTATTTAATTAAATAAAATTTAATAAATCATTCATAATGTCCATCATACATTTTGTAAACATAACAAATTACATTTTTTTTTTTATTCAGTTTATAACAAACATTTAGGAACAACATTAAAGGAACAATGTTAGTTAATATTACAAAACTACAAAAGTTAAGTACTCAATAGTTGATATAAATTATAATAATCATTTAGTACCTATATATAATTATTAAATAATATATTAAAAAAAAATCATTTTTTAAATTGCTTATTGCCTCTTATAATCATTACATCTTCTAAAATAGTTTCGGTCATATTTGTACGTAAATCGGACAAAATGAATTTTAATGAGGAAAAGCTTCTTTCTACACTGACCTGAAGAATATTAAAATTATTTAATTATTATTTAAAAAATTATAGTTATAAATTATTTTAAAGTTTTAAACTAATTACTTGTGTTGCTGGAACAGCTAATAGAACTTGGGCTAATCTGTATAGTTCAGGCATAGATTTTTGTTGTTGTTTCCAGTACTCAACAATATTTGTTTTATAATGTTCCCTAGATATATTGTCAAACGATTCTAATAAAAGTTGAATTGGTGCTTGAGTAGGGAAACTGTTTGATCCTAAGGGCACTGCTGTTTCATTATTATTGAGAATGAATAATTCAAAGTCATCTTCTATTACAGGTTCATCATTTCCTGCAGAATTATTTAATTCTTCTGCTTCAGAATTATTTAAACCTTGTAAGGTTAGGTTATCATCGATGGCAGTATTCATTGAAATCATTAAATCATATATTTTTGTTAAATGCTCTTTTGCTATATTTTTATCAGAATAATCCAAAAGAACTTGAAATCTCGGATCTAAATAAATAGCTATAGTAATAATGAAAATTAAACACAATAAAATATAAATATATGATTTGAAATATTAGGATAATAATATAATTATAATATTATAATATAATATAGTATACTCTAAGATCTTTATAGTTAGGTACCAGCAGAGAATAATTCATTTTTTAGCAACAGTTTTTGTCTAACCATCATTATTTGATAAATAGAATTAGAAACAGTAGAATCAATATTTTTAAGTTTATTTTGAGTTTGTAACCAAGTACAGTAAAAATCACCCAATGTGATATCTTGTCTTTGTAGTGACAATGAAGCTTCTCTAACTGGTGTAAGTGACTTTACCTACAAGAAATTAAAAATTAATTAATTGGTTATTTTTTATTTAAAAAAAATATTAAGTTGTTTACTAAATTTTCAATTGATGTCCATTCATTTACACTTAGTTTTAACAATGCATTTGTATTTGCATGGTCTATACAAAATGGCATTAACTCCAACAAACGTTCTAACATTAGGTAGGTAGTATCCCATCTAGGTTATATATCAAGAATAGCCTTTTTTAATTTAAGAACTTTAACTAATATTGCTATATTTGGTGTACGGAGATGTTTTATAACCTATAATAGTAAAATAATATTATAAGAGTTTTATAAAATTATCTAAATTACTAAATGTGAAATTTATTACTTTTCTAGCTTTCCAAATTACATTTTGAATGTTAGTAGATTTAAGACCATCTATAACACATAGTTGCAGAGTATGAGCTGAACAGCGTATCATTCTGGTTAAAATTGATGGTTGAATAGCTGTCTCTAAAAGCAATTCAAATGATTCGTTTTCAACTGCATCTTCAACTAATAAATCATCTTCATTTAAGCCAAATTCATCATAATCTATATTATCATTATTATCTGAAGAAGATATTAAGTCAACCATTTTCACCATATTCCTAGCATTGTCTGAAGTAATAGAAAGTATTTGATGTTTTTTTATATTAAATTTATTAATGACTTTAAAAACCTGAAAACATGGAAAAAATTAAAAAATTAATTTTTTAAGTATTTAGAACATAATTACCTAATTTATTAATTTGACTAATTTTAAATTCAATATTATAAAATATAAATGTATTATTATAATAATAAATAATAATTATAAATGTATAGCTACCACATTTTTAAGATTTTCAGCAGTATGTTTTTCAAACAATTCAACCATCGCTAGAGTTTTCACCACAAGTTTATCATCTACCATAAGTTGAACATTAATTCCTAGAATTGATCGTTCTTTTCTAGTTACACCATCAATTTTCAAACTAATAAGTTTATTTTTGGTTAGACAAATTATTTCATTTCTTATAGAATTGGCAGTTTCAGAAATATGTTGTATTATATTATGGCGATTAATACTTTGATTTCCTCCTAAAGCTTTCAGAATAGGATTTAAAATAGTCTGAAATCCAGAATCTCCTAACATTGAAAATGGTCTACCATTTACTGTGGTTAGTTCTATACATGCGTTTAATAAAGTATTAAAATCAAGTTTAACTAATACTGATTCCTTAGTTATAGTAAACACTGCATTTAAATCTGTCTGTACGATAACCTGAATTATTATATAACATATAAATTTAATTTTAATTTTTATACACAGTTTAAATTTAAATCAAGTTTATTAAAGGAATGTAGCATACTTTTCTTTTTCTTTGATCTATACAATTCATTTCTGATGACATTCGTTTATCTTTATCTCCTTTACTTTTTTTCCCCTGTAACTCTTCGTATTCTTTTTTATGATTAGTCCTTAAATGAGTCTCCATATTACCGGAGTGTAATCCACTTAATGTAGTTTTACAATTGTTAACCAAACACTTGGATTTTTTAGTAATTTTATCTTTTGAAAAATATGCGTCCACTGGGTTAGTCTGTGTTCTACCCATATTAATAATTTACTTGGCAATTATCTAAAAAGTTAAAATTCACATTGTAAGTCAAGATAAATTATAATTCATAATTCATTATTCATTATTATCTTGATTATAAATTATAATACTAGATAATAGTCAAAGACAAATTACAAGTAAATTAAATAATAATGAAATAATAATATATAACTTACCCTTACAGAATTGAGAATAGTGAATACAGTTATAATTTATCACAAATCAGTAATCACAATGCATATTAAACTATTTAACAATAACAACACCTAATATATTAATTATTAAGTTATAACAATCAACAAAATATAATATATACGATAGTATTTGCTTATAAGCATAGACATTATTACTTATACACAAATTCTCTATGATCTTATAACTTATAAGTTAGGTTAGGTTTAATTAGACAAAAGCAATAACATGATTAATCAACCTCCAAAATATAATACTATAATAGTATAATCACTATAATATAATAATCACTGAAACTCTGTTATAGATTACTCTATGAACCATGACCATCTTGATGACAGATAAATAAGATAATAGAATTTTACCGCTACGCAGTGCGTGTGTGTGTGTGGCCTACAATAATAATTATTCTATACTTCTATGCTATTTATATATTTTAATGTCAACAATATTATCAGAATTATCAGTTTTTCGGGTTTTTCCGTTTTCGATAACAGATTTTTTTTTCGTGGTATAAATAATTAAATAATGTATAATACTATAATTTATTTCCGTTTTACGTTTTTGTTTTCGTTTTTTGTTTTGTTTCGTTTTCGTTTTATTAATTGTTTTCATTTTTTGTTTTGTTTCGTTTTCGTTTTATTAATTGTTTTCGTTTTTTGGTTATTTTCGTTTTCGTTTTATTAATTGTTTTCGTTTTTCATTTTTTTCCGTTTAATAACGTTTTTTAAAAACGTTTTCAAAAACGTTTTCCATCCCTGGTATTGAGTGATGGAGGTTTTTTAAGACAACACGATAAGGCTTGTCTTCTTTAGCTTGATATGTGTGATATTTGATGGAACTGTCATTTAGTAATTTGATTGTTTGGCGAAAAGAGTTGGACGAATATAAAGATAGTTTGAGATTTTTAGATGTGGATTTGCATACGAACCCTTCATCGCCAGAAATAGATTTTATTTGCTTACAGAACTCAGTGTAATCTATTGTTGATGTGATAAAGATTGGCGGTGGTGGAGGTAGTTGGGGAGCGGATTCGGTGGTCATTTCGATGGGTTCGCTGGATTCGGCATCATCTTTTAGAACTTCTTAACGGTTTGGCGTAAAGAAAGATGCACTTGTTTTGTTCCCTTTTGGGTGGGGAGACGTACCCGGAGAAGACGGATGTTTAGTTTGTACGGTCCAACCGGATCCGTTATTGTTTGAATTTTTGGAGGAAGACGTTTTGACGATTTTGATAGAAGGCAATGAGACTTTTGAGCCACCTTGTATAGCTGTGCGGTCGTTGGATGATTTATTTTTAATTAGTTGATTAGGCGGCATTGTGCCGCTATCGGTTATCTACTGTCCAAAGGTCACCGGATGAGCGGTGCCTCGAGGCGGTAATTAATTAGTCGATAATAGTAATTAATTTCTTACTTTTTTTAGACTTGACACGGTTGAGGTTACTGTAAAAACGATAACCATACGTAGGCGAGAACTTAGTTTTTTGGATTTATTTAAAACTGCAAATTAGAACAAAATCCATTGAGTTTGGAGAAAGTTGTCGACGAATAACTCGGGAGCGAAGTAAAACACGTGTGTTTGGTAACGATACCCGTGCGAGACTAGGTTCTATTTTACATTACAACAGTAAAATGTTTTAGTAAATCAACTGGGCTCATTGGAATTTTATCAGTTGGTACTTCAAAATATTAAAAAACTTACTATTCCAATTAATTGGTTTGTAAATATTGAAAAAGATAAAAGCAATAATTCTGTTATTAGTTTTCATAAACTAGGCCCTCTTGTACTTAATAGTATGAGATATTTTGAAAAACAGCTAGTAATTACAAAAGGTACCTGCTTATATTTATTTATATGTATAAATAATATTTTTTTCATTAAAAAATTTGGATCGATTGGAATTTTTTCTTTAGACTCTACAACAATTCATATAGTATTTATTTATGTTGTATATTTACAAACATGTCATTTTTGAGGTAATGAATGATGCATTAGAATGGCTGGACAACTGGGAAGATAATTTAAATAATAATATAATAAAGGAAGATGAATTTTTGACAAAACAAACAGCAGAAGGTTTAAGAGTAACTCTGAAGTCAACAATAGATTTGGTAAATTATCTTCTCAATGATTGTGGTTTTGCTTATGTTTTAACCAGTAAATTAAATCAAGATTGTCTAGAGGTAAGTAATTTCAAATATTATTTAGAATTTATAAATGTATTAAATTAAGAATTTTGATATATTAATAAACCTAACTATGAAATTATATTACTTTCATTCCAGAGATTCTTTGGTATTATACTACAAGTTTCAGGGCCTAATGACTCAACTCCGACTTTCTTGCAACTATACCGTATGCTTTCAATGTATTCAATTATCAAACCACCTAAAATGGGGAATTGTAGTATACTGGAAGGTAGTAAAAGATCTGAAAATAAGAAATCATTAATATATAATATAGTTATTTATTTCTATTTATAGAAAATGTCCCAGTTATTACCATAAGTCATCTAAAAAGTATAATAAACGATCCAAATGGTATAAATGAAAGACTGGAAAAAGTTAAGAATCTAGAGAAAAAAATTGATGATATTGTTGAAGAGGGTTATTGGACTTTAGATGACATTTTTAAAGAGCATTGCTATAGTAATTTAGATTCAACAGTATTTGAATGTATTGTTTATTTCTTAACTGGGTAAATCAAATTAACTGTTACTTGAATAATATAACATGTTTTTATATTATTATCTACAGTATTGTTTTTATGTGTCATAGGTATATAACAAAGAGGCAATTAAAACATACTAAATGTGAAGTCTGTAAATCCAGTTTACAAGTTGCTAAAGGTAAATCATCTAATCCAGCAGCCGGTTTAGTCAATTTGAAAACTAGAGGATTCTTAACTCATGTAAATCAAAATTTGTTTCAAATTATTCAAGGATTGGAAGTATGTTTTCTGAATCTACTAAGTATGAGCCAAACATTACAGTCTACATATAATTTTAAAGGACGAAAATAATTTTGACACTCAATAATGTATTTACAACTAATTTAATATAATTTTTTTTATTTTAGATTCTGAACGGAGTGACATTCCGATGCACTCATTATTGATTATACATTGATTTGTGTTTTTATTTATTTTTAAATATTCTAAATTTAAATATTTTAGATTGCAATATAGGTGGTACTGTAGTAGATATATGACTAAATAAAAATACTAAGATGTATATGCGTATTGCACTTCGGTAGCTTTTATAAACAACGGTCATTGAACAACAATTAGAGCTAAGTGCCGCTTATGAACATTGTGTTAGTAAGAAGGTGAATATCTAAAAAAAGCTGCTCAAACTGATTAATTCAATTCCTTTATTTATTAATTTTTAACACCATATATTTTACTTATTACTATTAGTATTATACATTTCATACTGTAAATCTAAATTACTAACAATATATATTTATATCATAGAGAGTTAATTGGTTTTAGATAAAAGGGAACTTTGGTTAAATAACGTAAACCCAAAATAACATGGCATTTTGAAGCATTTGAATAACATATATTTACAACTACAAGTATTATATTCTAATATTCTATTACATTCTTAAGTATACTATATGATATATATATATATAAATATATATACCACATCATTGTAAAATCAATACATTCATCGTTCCATTTAGAATCTAAAAATTGGAAACTGAAAATGTCCCTAAATAGCTCAAAATATGTCAAAATATTTCAAAAAAGGCATGTTGTATAGAACATGCTAATATAATGTAAGAATACGCAACGCAGTTGTTTTTATGTTAAGGGGATTCGATACCGTGATTTTCTGTTTTTGTCTAACACACGCGGGACATGGTATTTTAGACGTGTTTTTTGCCAAACATACCAATTGATCCAATGAAGCGATAAGAATTCTGAAAACCGATTTGAATTTGTCATAAAGTCTACTTGAAATCGACTTTCCTACATTTTTGATATTATCCCCCGAATTTTTTAAAATGTTATATTCAAAAAGAGTATTTAAAAATTCTGTTATTTCAATTCTTGGAGAAGTTAAAATCAAAAAATCAAAAATGTGGGAAAGTTGATTTCAAGTAGACTTGACGACAAATTCAAATCTGTTTTCAGAAATCTTATCGCTTCATTGGATCAATTGGTATGTTTGGCAAAAAACACGTTTAAAATACTATGTCGCGCGTGTGTTAGACAAAAACAGAAAATCGCTGTATCGAATCCCCTTAATCAATGTTGCTTTTATTCTCACATAACATAAATATTTAATTAAAGTTCACAATATTTTCTTTTGGTTTTACAATCACTCTTCGAGTTACAGTTATGCTTTTTACTTATTAACAATTTAATCGGGAAATCACGTTGATCCTGGGGTATTTGGGCTGCTGAAATTGGTTGTGTACTGACCGTGACCAAAGACGACCAGACTGTGTTCCAAATCCAATCGGGCGGTGGTTTGCACTCGTCCTCGATGTGGTATCGACTATGAACAACCCTCCTTCAGCAGCGTTCAAGACTAGGACTAGGTTCGTTGTTGATTTGATTGTAATACAGCGAACGACAACATCAACGTGTTCAGTGGCGCAACCAGGATTTTTTTAAGGGGGGGGGTCCAAAAATATAATTATTTTAAAGTAGCATGCAAATTTAATTATTATAAACATAAAAAATAAAGTTATGTACAATGTGTACCTATACTGCTGTAACAACAATAAAATTACGGTATAAAATGAAGTATAATAATACAAGTATAATATAAGTATAATATTTATAATTATAAGATGAAATCTAAACGATGTTTTGTAGAGCTTAAATGACTTATTACTTCCTCTGGTGTTACACTGACTTCGTAGTGGATATTGAGGGCAGCTAATCCATTGAGTCTTCTTTCTGATGTGGAATTTCTTAAGTAACTCTTGATCCTTTTAAGTGTGGAAAATGATCTCTCCGCCTCACATGAAGTAATAGGAAGTGTGATAAGTATTTGTAATAGTTTATATATATTTGGGAATAAATCTGGATTGCATTCATTAAGTATTTGAATTACACTATTATATTGTTTATTACTGTCAGTCAAATAACGATTCCATAAAATAGTTTCTGATTTCACTCGATCAAAATCATCAACATCGTTAGCATGAAACTCAACAAGTTCTCTTAGTTTTTCTTCATCAAACTCTGAGCTTTTAACAAACATTTGAAATCCAGATATTATGTTTTGATGATTAACAAAACGATCGTTTAATTGTTGTACAAACGAATCAAGAAACGGTAGAAATAAAGTGATTCTAAAATATTCTTCGGGATCTTTTGTCGGAATATTATCTCGGTATTTTTGACGCTTAGCTAATCTAGGCATTTCAATAGTAAGTTCAAAATCGTTTAATCTTTTATTTATATCAATAAATAATTTGTTAAATTCAGAAGTGGCGTTTTCCCTTATACAACTTAATTGATTTTTTACTAGATTAATATGATTTAACAGCTACCACCAAATCAATATTTTTACTTTGTAAATATTTGCAAAGAGACTGAGTATACTGAAAAATGTGGTTGAGAATACTGAGGGCTACATTAAATTCAGAAGATTGCAATGCCAAAAGCAGTTGATTAGCTTTACTCGATGTATCAATATCTTTCCATGTAATCATTTCTTCCAAGCAATAAATAATTGCAGGGAAAAATTCATTGAACGTTTCTATTGAATTATAACGTTCAACCCACCTAGTTGGGCAAAGCCTTTTAAGTTTTTGTTTATTTGAAGAAGTTTCTTTTTTTTTCAACTCGGCCAGATGTGTATTAAAAAAATTTTGTCGTTTCGGAGTATTTAAAAAGTTATAACATGCTTCTACAGTACCCATAGTGTTTCTTATTCCTTGAATATTGCAAGCATATGATACTGACAGATTGAGATTATGAGCACTACAATGTATGTACAATGCACTCGGATATTCTTTTCTAATTAACGCTGCAACACCATTTAATTTCCCACTCATACTTGCAGCACCGTCATAACCTTGACCCCGTAGATTTTTGATTTCAATATTTAAGCCTTTTAACTCAGTAATAATATGATTTGCTAAGCTTTGACCACTAACATCATCCACTGGAACAAATTTTAAAAAACTCTCATACATTTTTTTTTCGTTCACGTCATAATAACGAGCACATAAAGCGAATTGTTCAACACCTGATATATCAGCCGTTTCATCGGCTATTATTGAAAAAAACGTACTATCATTTATTTTTTTTACAATTTTCGATATAATAATATCAAAACAAATATGAACTATTTCATTTTGAATTTTCCAGCTGATATATTGAGCATTTTTACTGCAATTTTCTCTAGCTAACTTAAAACTTTCATCACCAGATAAAGTAGTAGCCTTAAGAAAAAATCTTAATAATGACCTAAAATTGCCTTCATTTATTAATGGTTCATCTATATTAAGTGGTCCAGAATCGCGGTGACCTCTTAGAGCTATGCCTTGCCTACCACACAATATTACCGAATTAATAACAGGGATTATTATTTTTCGATTATTTTCTTTCTGGATTTTTTCAGTTTTGTTTAATTGATGGTAAACAGAATCTGTTTTTCCTGTAACAATTGACGAAATTTGTTGAAAATCTATTACACTATTTTGATGGTAGTTAGTTTTTTCGTGCGTAGAAAACTTTTCTAAAGCGTGTTTCCATTTGTTAAAAGGTTCGGTGCAAAGCTGGCCTAATAGCTGACTACCCTTTCCACTTCTATATTTGGAAAAAAGCACACAATATTTGCAGTAAGCACCGTCTTCAATTTTACTATAAGCTAGCCATTTCCAATTTTCTAACCATCCAAATTGAAATTTTAATTGTTTTTTGCCATGCTGAGTAGAAGGAAATACTGAGTTCTTACCTGGTGTCCATAGATTTTCTAGATGTCGAAGTTTTTCAGCATCAGTAAATTTTTTACCAACCATTAGCTGTATGTCAAAAATACTATGTACATTTGAAGTATCTAGATCCGAATGTATTTCTGAAGTTTGGACCTCTAGTGGTTCTTCTCCCCTAGAGACTTTAGCCGGTACATTTGATGTTTTAAAATAACTATTTATGCTCCGTTTACTCATATTAAATTTATAAGTATTTTATAATATTAGTAAAAGTAAATATACCTATGTAAATGCCAAAAAAAAAAAAAACTGAAAACTACGAAAACTACGAAAAATTACAAACGATTTGTTAACAGTAAAAATTAATAATACACAATAACACCAATTATTATCAATGCAAGCGCGTGACTGTATGGTAATACCACATAATAGATGAAAATCTGTGGTAATACTCAGAACAGTTATATGGTAATCTTTTGCAACGGTGACTTCTCGATACGAGCTTACACGTGATTTGTTCTTATCAACTATAAGGCGTTTTTATTATCACAATATCACAGCAGCCGTACTCGGTTCTGAATCAAATCAATTATTCAATTTTGTCAAACATTTTTATTATTTTAGAAAGATACGACACGGTTCAAGGGGGGGAACCCCCCCCCCTTGGTTGCGCCACTGATCGTGTTGACAAGAGAACTGAGTAGATACATGTGTGCAACGGCGTAGAGGCGGCGGCGCAAATAGGTACCGCGGCGACAATATGTGCGACAGGTTGCGACGTGTGTGCAACGGCGTACAGGTAGCGTAGTAAGTAGGTACCGCGTTGGTTAGCGACGACGTAAATGCGGCGGAAGCGCAAGTAGGTAAGCTAACCGACGCAAGGCAGCGGTGCCCTGCTGTACGACGTATGAGTACCTAACTTTTCAATACAGTCTAGGCCGTATCACTACCATACGAGCAAAGCCGTAGCGAGCCATTTTTTATCCTGAGGTTAGGTTAGGTTAACAAATTAATTTTCCTTGCTTTTGTGTCAGCAAATTTGTCAATTACTTCATCGTAATCTAATTTACTAGCGATTTCTGTTTCTATAGAAAGTATGACCATGCTTGATAATCTCTCCTGAACCATTGTAGATCTTAAGTATGTTTTCATCAATTTAAGTTTGCTGAAGCTTCTTTCATATGAAGCTGTTGTGGCGGGCATTAAGAGAAACATCCTTATAGTAATTTCAATATTTGGATACGATTCTTATAATCGTGAATCATTTGTAATAAATACAAAAACGTTACTGATTCAATAATTGGCAACATTGATAAAGCTGCTTGTTTAAAATCTTTAATTTCTTTAACTATTTCCGCAGTATTAAAAGGAAAAAACAGAAAGCTACGCACCTGCCTTAAACAGTGACCAGCAAATACTAAGTCAAACTATCAAAACAGTAGTCAGTAATATACACTTCACAAAATGTGTTCACTATTTATAAATTGATCTATTGTTCTCACATTACCTGATATAATGTAGATATAATATCTTATAATATGGTGAGGGGTTGAGCGCAATAGTGGCCTAACCCACAAAAATTCGTAAATTGAGATAATGATATAATATTGTTCAGAATTAAAAATATTCTAATGCAACAACGGCCTATTTACGATTTTCTTATTTTAAAACTAGATGGCAGCACTACACAAGTTGTTGCATTAAGATATTTTATGTTTTGTGATAAAGTAACAATGACCTATTCAACTGTATGTGGAATAGGCCACTGTTGTTATCATAACATTATAGTCACATTGTTTGATAAGCCATTGTGGTATCATAATAAATAATAATTATTCGTGTTATCGTAAATAATCTAGTTAGTAGTTACCTACATTTTTTTTAAGTGTGAGTCCGTATAATTAAATGCTGACCATGAGTTACACCTTAGAAAAGCAGAATCAGCTCGGAATGGAATGAATAATGATGTAGAATTATGTAAAACTGATCCTAATAAAGTCACTGTTATAGCTTTTGATCTAATGAAAACTCTCTCTACTCCATCCCTTTCTGTTGGAGTGGCTTATTATAAAAGACAGTTAAGTACATACAATTTAGGTATACATAATTTAACTACGAACGATGCTTATATGTATGTCTGGAATGAATCCATGGCATCACGTGGACCACAAGAAATTGGATCATGCTTGTTACATTTCATAAAAAACTATGTACATACAGAACAACTTATTATGTATAGTGATCAATGCGGAGGACAAAACCGGAATATAAAAATGGCCTTAATTTGCAATTTTGTAGTTGGCTCAAATGACTATTTACCCACTGAAATACATCATAAGTTTCTAGTTTCAGGACACTCTTACTTAGCCTGTGATAGGGATTTTGGAGTGATTGAAAAATAAAAAAGGTATCACTCTGAAATTTATGTACCAAATGACTGGATAAAAGTTATTGAAAGTGCTCGAAAAAAAAAAATCCGTTTAAGGTTATTCAGATGAGACAAGAAGATTTCAAATCTACTGTATTACTTGAAAAAGATATTACCAATAGAAAAGTTAATGCTGATGGAGAAAAAGTAGAATGGATGAAAATGCAATGGTTGTACTTTGTAAAAGATAGACCTTACAAAATGTTTTTTAAATATTCTAATAATGAGTTTGTTGCATTTATTTCTGTCAATTTTTCCAAACGTTGGATGGCAAAACCAAAAGAATTAGAACAACTTTATCCCAATGGGCTGGCAATTAGCAATCAGTTTATTCCTCCAATACATCATGAATTCTATAAAAATCTAAAAAAAAAATAATATTGTTACTTTTTTAAAAATGTATTTTTTAGACTATTATTAATTTGAACTTTTTTTATGTACTTGGTAATTCAAAAATATAAGTCATATTTTTATAAGTGTTTTTTAACTATTAATAAGTAATTTTTAAGAATGTTGTGATTTTACAGTTGTAATAAAACTATTAAAAGGCTGAATTGTTTTTTTTTCATATTATAATATTAACAGAAGTTATTTTTATTTGTTAGTCATAATTTTTAGGGTTTTTGTTACCTATTAATAACTCATTTTTAAGAACGTTGTGATTTTACAGTTGTAATAAAAATATTAAAAGGTTGAATTGTTTTTTTTTTTTGTTATAAGTCGTCATTCGTCGAAATCAAATATTCATAACGATTTATTATTAAACGATTTTAGATTTTTGTTATCGTTAAATTAGTACTTGAAACTTTTAAAAAAAGGCTTGAATTAGTATTTTCTTTAGATACTTTAATTTTCAAAATATTTCTCATATCCTGCACTTGTGCACGTATACGATTTGATTACGATAGCTCAAGCGTCAGAGATTTTGTGTTATATTATTTTTATATTGTTGTCTGTTGGTACTTACTGCTTACAACTTAGTAGGCAAGAAATCTTACCTTATCGAGTAAGGATTTAGTAGTGAATAGTTAGTTAATTTTACAAAAATAATTCCTTGAAAAGGAGTTTTATGTATTTTATTTAATGAACAAAAATTATAAAATTTTACAGTTATGTAATGTTATTTATAATAGACTATTGATGATTTAAATATTTTAAATATTTTGAAATATATGAAATATTAATATTGGGGAGGTACAAATGTTATTTTTTTGAACAGTTTTGACGCTTATTTCGTCGCAAATGATGTGCATTTCTTATAACTTTGGCGCTTATGTCATTAGTCATAATTATTATATTTACATAACTATGGATTTAAAATTCGAACTCAATATAAACCATAATATTATAATAATATATAGTCTGCAGTTGTTCACGTCTTCGCCACGTCATTAAATTCAGGGCCATATTTGGACAATTTCCACCCCGGGGCAACATATTTCCGCCGCCCCCTACCTCCCCCCCACAGAAAATTAAACCAACTACATAAATATAATAATATGCTACTCTCACTAATATAATATTGGCAAATTAAATGTATATACAATATAGGTACACTATTATATTATATTCATGTGTGTGATTTATTATTGTAAAATGTATTATGAATAATAATTATGATCATAAAAATTTAACAAAATATAATATAATTTCTCTATAAATATTAATATTTCTCTACATAGGAAATAACCAATGTTAAATAAAGAAAATGGTTTTAAGTAAATAATGTATTATGTATTGTTAAGCATTGTATTTTTTATTAATAATTATAATCTAAATAGTTATATAAATACATTTATAACTTTCTCCTTGACTGAAGGTTTGAGAATAAAATTATCATTTCTTCGAAATCTGTTTCACTGGTTGTATCAGATTCTATGGTCAATAAAGGTAACGCAGAACATCTTTCTTGATTCATTGTTGAACTTAGATAATTTTTTACTCGTTTTAGAACAGAAAACGAACGTTCAGCTGAACAGTTAGTAGATGCTGTTGATAAAAAAAATACATACCTAGCGCAATTTCTACGTATGGATACAAAATTATGAAATTGTTACTTCTTATCCATAACATGAGTTCCAAAATAGTTTGAGGATTATTGTCAGAAGTTCCTAAGCTATGGATGTGCTCTTGTAGCTGGACCACCTCACTAGCCAAACTTATATTTAAGTCATTTGGATAAGCTTCACATAATTCCTTAGCACTTTTATACGAATTTCATTAATTGAATGCTGTGTTATATTCATAGGCGCAAATAGTGTTTGAAATCTGGGGGGGCTGAAGCCGTAGCTCAGTTCAGAATACTGAATACTCTTATGATGCTTTTAAATTATTACAAAACCACTAAAAAAATTTACCTTGCTGCAGCAACATGAACTACAAATAAACATAAACATATATAGGTACATATATATATATATATATATACATATATAATATATATACTATATACCATCTAAATTAAAATTCACATAATCATCTAATATTATATTAACACATTGGTATTTTTTTGACATCAATTTTTTTTATTCTTATAGTAAGCCTCATTACAATAATTTAATTCTCCTTTCGGTTTTACTAAAAGTATTTAGAATCTCTTCCACATCAACAACAATATCTTTTTCAATATCAAGTATGCCTAAATTTCTAAACCGGTTTTGGGACATAGTAGATCTTAAGTAGGTGTTTATTCTTCGCATTGTGGAAAATGACCTCTCAGAAGTGGCTGAACTTACAGGCAATGTAATTGCTATTTGAACAACTTTAAACAAGTTGGGAAAAACTTGTTTACTTAGGTGTTCCTTGATATGTTCAAATTCTATGTTTTTTTTTATTATATTTTTAAAGACAGTCATTTCACATTTTAAGTTTTCTGTATTTAATTTAAAAACATCCTAAATAAAACAAAAAAATAAAAAATATACTTTATACAACTAAATTTTAAAATAGGTAATTATTATATGTTATTATATTTTCAATGAATTACCTTATAATGGTCAATAATAAAATGACTTCCTTCGAAATCCATTTTAAACAATTTGTCAATAGATGTGGCCATTTGGAAACTTTCTTCTGAAAACCGCCTTTTCATATTGAAAATCACTGTGTCTAATATGGGAAAAAAAACAGTTGTTTTCCAATATGTCTTTTCATCAATTATTCTATTGTTTTCCTCAGCTCCAGTTGCAATTGTAACATCAAAACCTTTGAGAAACGTAGGCTCTTTTCTTTGTCTCTTCTGTTCATCTTTACGAGTTGAAATATTATGTTTATCGCAAAATGTTATGACACCATCCCAAATCTCATTAAAATGGCAAGATGATCGATTAGTTTCTAAAGTACTTATAATTCCTTTAACTAAATTAGCAGAATTTCCTAATGTGGCCAATTTTGCTTGAAGCTGAGTACTCAATATATTAACTATTCTGAGAACTTCATGTAAAATAAACAAATATACAACAAACTTTTACATTTTTCATAGTTGCTAAAACACCTAAAACATTAAAACATTAGTTTGTAGAAAATAATTGTATAGGGGAGACTGGGGCAGATTTGAATGCGGGGTAGATTTTAATTGATTAAATAACTCTAGCTATAATGATAAAATAAATTCAAGTAAAATACAGAAGGTTGGTCATACTGTACCCAACATATGATATGTTCATCAGCTATCTGTTATCAATATTTTTATGATATAAAATGAAAATGTGTTTTTGAACTTTTCGTTACTGGTTTATTACCATCTTAATAAGAGATTGAGAAACAAACAACAACATTCAGTAAGTATTTAACAAAACATACTAAATTAAAATTTAATATTCTTTCAAATGGAATACTATTGAATGTGATATTGTATTTCATTGTACAGCTTTTGATAAATATATTGAAATATGTACTATGGGGTACAATTGAATATTCCATAGTGGGGTAGATTTGAATTGGTTTTAAACATAGGTATTGATCTCATAAATTGTATTTTTATTTTAAGAAAATGGTAAGAAATTATATTAAGAAAAGAACAGTGAATGTTGAATTGAAGGAAAGGAATATTCAAGAGGCAATAAATGAAGTAAAAGATGGCAAATGTGCCAAAAGAGCTGCAGAAGATAATGGTGTTAAGTACACAACATTATATTATAGATTAAAAAAGTTAAAAACGCCTGAAGGTGAGTGGATACCCCAAATAGAACCAAAATTTAACTCCAAATACACAGTAAACCAAGTTTTTAGCCAAGTTCAAGTATTCCTCCTTGTTGAATATATCATAAAATGTTCAGAAATTAACTATGGTCTAACTTGTAAACAAATTAGAAAATTAGCTTATGATTATTCTTTAAAATCAAACATTAAGGGACCCAAAGCATGGTCGGAAAATTGTATAGCTGGTATTGATTGGTAATTAGGATTTATGAAACGTCACCCTAGCTTGTCTATCAGAAAACCAGAAAAAACAAGTTTAGCCAGAGCAACTTCTTTTAACAAAAATAATGTGATGATGTTTTTCGATCTTTATGAAAAGGCATTAAGGAAATTTCCAGTGTCAAGTGACCGTATTTTCAATGTAGATGAAACTGGCGTTTCAACAGTACTTGATCCACCAAATGTCGTAGCTCAAAAAGGAACAAAACAAGTAGGGCAATGTGTCTCAGCCGAACGGGGACCTATGATTAATATTGTAATGACAGTCAGTGCAACTGGTCAAGTCGTTCCACCGGTTTTTATATTTCCTAGAGCTCGATTAAGTGATAATTTAATGATGGGTGCTCCAATAGGCAGTTTAGGTTTGGTAAATTCACCTACTAGTGCTTGAATCAATTCAAATTTATTTGTTAATGTCTTGGAACACATCAAAAAAACTACAAGATGTACAATCGATGATAAAATAATTCTTCTAATGGATAACCACGAATCTCACTGTTCTTTCAAAGTTGTCAAATATGCAAAGGATAATGGGATTGTTCTTGTTACCTTCCCACCACACACCACACATCGTCTGCAATCGTTGGATGTTGGTGTATTAGGACCATTTAAATCTAAAGTGAAAATTGCTCAAAATGACTGGATGACCAATAATCCTGGTAAAACATTAAAAATTCATGACTTACCAAATCTGGTAAAAGAACCATTTCAGCTTTCTTTTAATTTATGTAATATAACATCAGCTTTTTCTAAAACTGGATTATGGCCATTTTCCAGACTAGTGTTTACAGACGATGATTTTACTCCGTCTTTATGTAACTGATCGTCCAGAACCAGAAGAAAATAATCAACAGCATTTAGAATTAAATATTTCAAATGAAGAATGCTTACCATCTACTTCAGCACAAATAACTATTCCTGGAACTCCAATTACATCACAAAGTACATTGGAAAATAATACTCAACTTATTTCTCCTGAAGATGTTCGTACATATCCAAAAGCTGGACCTCGTTTAGAACAAAAGAGAGGCCGCAAAAAAGGCAAAGCACGCATTTTAACAGAAACACCAGAAAAAAATTTAATAGAAAAAGAAACTGAAGAACGCCAGAAAAAAAAGCAACCAAACAAAACAGTAAAAAAAAAGACTTCATCAAATCCTCCTAAAAAAGCTACCACAAAAAGAGCTTTATTTGACCTGTGCTCTAGTAGTGATGAAAGTAACGAATATTTAAAACTAGCGGCTAAAACCCGGCTCCGCCGGATTGTTTTTATTTATAACCATACCCCTTCGATTATGAAATATATACTCAATTTTATTTGTTCAATTATACCCCCCTCACAATCGCTATAGTTCAGGTTGATGGAATATTGGTTTTATGTGCCATTTCATAATGTTCAAAAAAAATATCTCAAACATATAAATAAACACACTAAATATACAAATTAAAAAAATATTAATTATAACAGTATGTACATGCACAAGATAAAATAACATATATTCAAATTATCAAATAAAATAAATTAATAACGGAGGTTATCGGTGAGTAAAAAAAAATTTTTTATTTCTTTCCATAAATAGAAATATGAAAATAGTATTTTAACCCAAAATTACAAAATTATTTATATTATATTCATTTGAAGAAAATCGACACATCTATTTTGACGATTTCGAACAACATGGCTGTTCGTTGTCTTCAATCTCGTCTTTTTTCCTTTTAATTGTATTATTTTCATTAATATTTTCTTGAGATAATAACCATGTTTCAAACCTATGTAAGCAACAGCAATTTAAATACATTTTGAATAATATAGTGAATAAAAGTGTCATTTAATTTTAATTTGAATACTCTTGCTATTAAGTCATGGCGATCACTTGGTTGCTGATCAGCCAACAATAAATTGGTGATTTCTGTCCATCGAATATTACATGTAAATGTAATGAATAAACATGGCTTTCCATTATGTCTAACGTAACAAAGAGCATCTTGTATATATTCATGCATATGTCGTGGACTACCTATAAAACTTGCTGGTAATATACATTTTTGACCAATATCTGAAACATTTTCATCATTTTCAAATGCATCTTTTAAATGAATATACTGTTCAACTTTAAGAGCTTTTTGATTGCATCGTATATAGCGTAAACGTTCATTTTCAATTTTTGCATACATATCAAATATAAATTGATTTAGCAATTGCTTATAATGTAATAAATGATTTTCTGGATTTGTACGTATCATCATTCTGTATGCATAAAATTTCATTGATGACACACGTTTCTTTGTTGACAAACCTGTAACTGGATTTATTTCGTATATTTCAAAATGATATCCATCTTCCCCCATCCAAAACATCAATGGATATTGTAAAGCATCATACGATTTGTGGGTTTCTTGGACCGTTACATACTCATTACTACGTTTTTGTAACACAATATCGCGTTTTGAAAATTCATTCCCATTAATTATAGCAGCTACTTCATTTACAACTGGTAAATTAAAACGTCTTTCGTGTTCACTTGAATGTATTTTGTCGGCACGAAGTACAATTTGGCATTCGTCACTCGGCATATTGTCTAATGATGTTTTGAAAAGTTTTATTAATGCGTTGTGTTCATTTAGAAAATTTTGTAAAGATTGAACTATTTCGTGTTGCACATTGGGAACGATCGAACATCTACGTTGTGATTGTATATCATCATCACCAATAAAATATATTTGTAAAAATGATGATTCACAATCATATGGAAGAAGAGATCCTATTCTGTGATAAATTTGTCCTTGAATTTTGAATGTAGTTTGAAAACCCGACTCTTTCTTTCTGTTCGCACCAAATGAAGTCATGTTGAAGCACGAATTATATTTTCTAATATTACTTAGAAAATGTTTTGATTCAATTGTTGTTCCAGATAGATACGTTGATAATGGCTCTTCGGGAATAGTCAAATCAGGCAAATTTACCTTCCCCTTTCCAAAACACATGTTATCAGATTCATCTTGAAATTTTAACGCTTTGCAAAACTTACATTCAATATCCATAAGACCAATAGAAATACGATGATCGTTATTAAATACGTCACTACAATCATAATTAAATGCTTTCATTCCTAATTTTTTTTTCATTTTGGACTTTCTTCTTTCTGTACGTTGACTCATTTGTTTCTGATTTAATGATGATTTTTTTGTTTCTTCTATTATATCATCTTCAACTTGATGTGTTTAGGTAGGATATGATATGACCAAAGTTTGTTATCATAATTTTAAGAGAACTGTACTGAGAAAATGTCTTAAAATAAAACCTTTACCTTTACTTTTTGGTACTTTTATGTGTGTTAATTTTTTAATGCAAAGACACATTCAAATGTGTCCCACATAGATTCAAATGTACCCCTAGTATGGGGCACATATGAATAAAAAGTTACTTGTGTTTAACATTTTATAATAAACTATTATTTAATGATATAGATTTAAAATTATTACAGTATGATGTTAAAATATCATGAGAATCTAACAGGACCATAATACTTCAAATTCAATGAAAAAAAAAAATTAAAAATCAAAATGTAATTTTCATTCAAATCTGCCCCAGTCTCCTTTTATTGAAATATTAATAAATAAATTATACCAATAGCTTGTGCTACATCTTTGGATTCTTGAGCTTCTATTTCTTCAGTAAAATCATTTGTTTTTGGGGGGGCTATAGCAATTCTTAGGGGGGCTAAGCCCCCCTAGCCCCCCCCCCCCATATTTGCGCCTATGCTGTGTACACATAGATATAAAAAGAAAATGAACTATTAATTAATAAAACAACTTGTTTAACAGTTTAACTTATATTATGAAAAAAGGAAAAATTTTTACCAAATTATCATAAGCAGACTTGCGTTTTGTAACTCTGATAGTAAATTGTCTAGTATAAAAAAATATGTCATTACAATAAAATTTTCTCGACCGGATAATGTCACATCATTGGATCTGGTTTCACCATGTGGTAACTTTCGTCTTCTTTTTCGTTTCTCATTTTCTTTATAGTCACTTAATCCAGACAAATCTTTAGCAGAATTTTTATAATCCATAAATCTATTTCTATTGCGAGCCGATTTAACATAATATATTATTGAATCATAAAGCTAAACAACAGTGATTAAATCAATACTAACATATTGTAACTTTTTACTTGTTTTATTCAAAATTTCAAGAATATCACCCCAAAATACAGCCATAATATAGTCATAATAATTTTTTTAATAGAAGATTTAAAATAATAATTAAAATTATTTAAATTTATTTATTTTTTCTCAACAATTAATATACCTACAATAATAATTCATCAATATAAATTTTCCGCCCCTAAACGGACTAAACAATTTGCCGCCCCGGGCAACAAGGTACACTTGCCCCCCCCCCTAAATACGTCCCTGATTAAATGAACAATAACGATAACGTGCCAACGTTCAAATTATTATCATCTTAGCCGCTAAAACTACTAAATAATATTAAGGTCCGTTCCTACCTATGCAAAACGCGAAATGCATACGTGATACGTTGCACGTGGGTAAGACAGAAGCGTCATCACCAATATAGGTACACCCGGTCATATAATGACTGTAATATACCAGTATTGCCTACTAGACACCAACTATCATTATCTTAAAAAAAAAAGCCACGAGTTACTCATGGGCGGTCCCGGGATTTTACTTCAGGTGCAGCATAGATGGCTAACTTCTAAATGTTAGGGGGATATCGGGAAAGTGTACAAAGTCAGATTTACCGGGTATCAATGAATCATAATTTACTTTAGACAATTATATAATAATTATGATTGTTGAAACTAGTAAACTAGTAATTTCCTTTCCTCCGAACTTGGTGTTTTTTCATACGATAGAGTTTGATGGTAAACGGACACTTTGTACTATCAATTGTTTGAGTTGCATACCGCGCGAACCCTTTGTAAGGTGAAAATAAATTGATAAAAATCAATCGCGGACACTTTGTACGATATAAATAAACTGGGAAATATAGTCGGGACATAAGATAAAATAGAATTGCTCAAAACTTTAGATCGCGAATCGTGATCGCAATCAGTATGAGACACGAGTTTGGTGAAACAATACACTCCACACACAACCCATACTCTCTGTACAATATACAAAATGAACCACAACCAAACAACAAAGTTAAATCCAAAACATTTTAAATATGGATACGAATATACAATTTTAAGAATAAATCAATCAAATATTAGGTGGAAGTGTTCAAAAGTGACTTGTACGGGTAAAGTTACTACAAACCTTCATGAACCGGTGAGTTATAAGTTATAAATTATATTATAACATAATTAGCATGAGATTTGTTTTTTCATTAATAAATAAATAAACACTAGATTTTTATGAATACTTTTACTATTTATGTCATAGTATATATTATTTACAAAATGGGTTGGTCATAAGCAGGTTCCGAGTGATACAATATTGAAGCTGAAAAACCTTGCACTAACTAATATGAAAAGCCGAGCTATTCATAGTAGAGAATCAACAAATCAAATTCTTCTGTCTGTAACTCATGAAAATAATGGTTAGTATGATTTTTAATTCAATTATATATTAAATATTTTATTATATTAATACAAAATACACGCACTTTTATACAATATTTATTCTTACAAGTTATAAGATAATTAATTATTTTTATTCGTATTACAGAAGACGTACGTAATAAAATAGGAAATACTGATTCTATACGTAGGACTAGCCGTCGAGCACGTCGTAAACATGTTCCTGAAGAACCGAGAACCGAGAAGCATGCAATTTGTATTGCCCGAAAAATGGAAAACAACTATGGGTGGTGAGTCAAAATAATTTTTAATTTAAGACAGCGAAAGTGAAAATGGAATGTTGATATTTGCAACTTTTCGAGCCTTAACTATATTATCATCAGCTTCAATATGGTTTATGGATGGAACTTTTAATTGTTCGAATGTTTTCGCTCAGTTATACGTTATTTCAGCTGAATTTAAAGATAACGTATTTACATGTGTTTATGCTTTCCTCCCAAACAGTGGCGTAATTACGGGGGGGATTTGGGTGTCGAATCCCCCCATGACCCGGTTTTTTTTTTTTTTTTTTGTAATCGTCTAACACATTTATGTACTTATTATGGTATATTTTATAGATTTAACAAACGTTTTATCGGAATTCGGAATACTCACAATCGCAACGACTCTCTGGACTCCGACCTCCGTTACTCGTTAGTCATTTCTCATTTGGTAATAATCGGCTCATACTGTGAATTTTGTGATATTGTCTAATTGTGTGTTTTCTGAATTAAATTAATACATTATAGTGATTCGTTTTCGAATGAAAGTGCAACACAAATTACGATTTTTTATTTAATATTTATTTATTATTCGTTAATTATTTTTAAAATAAAACAGCGTAAAGTTATAATAGAATTTTTTATTTCTAAAAATGGAAGGTAAAAGGAAAAAAGATGATAATACTAAAAATACACTTATAACATATTTTTCAAAAAAAAGTCGTAATAATAAAGAAAGCTGTGATGATGTAAGTACCATATTACTATGATCAATTTATATCTTGTTTTTATAACTCCAATTTTTATTAATTTTATACATTTTAAAGGATCATCTAAATCAAACTAAAACTAATGACCCAGAGACACAGAATATTGTATTGTCAGTAGATCAGCCTTCATGTTCGACATTAAAACAAGTAATAATAAATATTATCTAGAAATATAATTTAGTGTAGATTTTATATAAAAAATTAGTTATTGCATAGTGCCAACTAAGAATACTATTTGCTTAATTGTGTTAATGCTTTAATGTATTGCTAAATACTGCTTTAAATTTTGATTTTTGTTATTTTCCTCAGGATGAAATTATTGATAATGAATTGGAAACTAATTTTAGATCAAATGATATAGGGCTTTTTACTAATTGTACACATACTGATGCTGATAAAAAGCTTGTAAGTTAAATATAGTAGTGTAAGCTAGCCACTAGTAAACTATTTTGCATACTAAATCCATTATTTTATTTATATAGTATATACAATATTGAATATTGTACTAACTAATAAATATAATTTGATTATTTGCTTTATTTTTAATATAATATTATAGGTGCTTAGAAATGTGTGGGTACCAAATGTAAATTATGAGTTTCCATTGTTGGAAAAATATAAAGCAAGAGGTCTGAAATTTCAATATAAATGGTTGACAGAATTTAATTGGCTTGTTTATTCAGAAATTAAACAAGGAGTTTTTTGCAAATACTGTTTGCTTTTTGCTAAATATGGCGGTATTGGTGGCCAGCCTCTGGGGCAACTAGTTTCAACTGCTTTTTCAAACTGGAAAAAAGCAAAAGAGGTGTTAAATTATTTTCTATGTATTTAATTATTTTAATTATCTATTATTGATATCTTTTGTTTATATATTTTATAGATTAGTTATATTATATGCACTTTTAAAATTATTATATTTTCTGTATTTAATTGTATTACGTATTCTTATTAATTTTAGACATTTCGAAATCATTCCCAGTTGAAATACCATTTATCGTCTGTATTAGATGCTGACCATTTTTTAACTATACTTGACCATAAACAAGTTACTATAATTGAAAAATTAGAAACAAATAGGACAGAAAAAATTAAATTGAATAGAAGTCGCCTAATTCCAATAATTGAATGTGTCATATTATGTGGACAACAAGAAATTGCACTCGGTTTTGCTATGTTGGCTGTTCATAGAAATGTCAAAGTTGACCCTGAAGAAGTGCTTAATGAATTAGCATTAAGACCACGTAGAGTGGATCTTTTATTGTAATTTGTTACACTGAACCAAAAACAACAATCAATTTTAATAAATATATTTTATCAAATGTTGATAAATATATTCTATCCACGTAATAAAATAAATCATTTACATAAAAAAAAAATTATAATGATAAAAATTTTATGAAATTGATAATTCCATTTTATTTCATTTTATGGTGTTTTATAAATATTATAAATACAATTTATTAAAATGATAAAATTTAATTATGAAATTTAATGAAATATATTATCATGTTTAAAAAATATAGTCATACCAATAAACTTCTTTGTTATATTGATAAATTTACAATATTGTTTTAA